TATGCTCAGGACCAAATTACTTCTTGGCCCAGTTGCTTTCCTTCGCTCAACTGCACACAAGATTACAAGAAGGCTAGGCTGTAAGAAGATCAGGGAGCGTGCGCAAGCCCAGGTACAGGCTTGATGCCCCTGCGTGAAGTAGACATCACAAGAAAAACTCTGAAATCCAAGCTTAGAAGGGCTTGCGCTCTGCTCAGGAGCAATCATTTTTACCTGATCCTGAAAACTAATTGGGGCTAGAACGACATCCCAGAAACATGACTGGAAGCGCAGTTCTGATGGCGCAGTCTCTCGCGTCACTTGCCTGTTCCAGATGAAAGCTGGCGTGGGTGCGTGAAGCTTTGCAGGAACCAGCGTCAAATTGAGATTTCGCAATGTCTGTGCGATGCCCAACAAGATGCGTGCAGACACTCAATCCAAACTATGACCGAGCGACCCCCAGACCTCATTGAGCGCGAGATAGCGCGAGTGAAAAGCTAAGGCAACCAACAGCGGTGCACAAGGAATTTATCCGTTCTTGTCACCCTGCAGATTTGGGGCATCTGGTCTCAAATAAAGATCACTGCGCAGCGCTAAGCGCGAAAGACTCAGGTACCCACCCTGACAAAAAGTTGGCAAGCGACTGCAGCACCTGGGAGGCTTGCGAGCGGACTGTCAACTGCCGTGTTCCCACAACTCTGCTCATAGTGTAGTGGAAACTGACGTAGCCACTGAGCCTGATCATCCAGCGTCGGACAGCCAAACATTCGGTATCTAACCACCTGCGTCAAGACATTTTCCCTTCGTGTGCTCAAGCATCGGCCTTAAGGTAGAACGACTGAGTGCTGCATTTGAGCATTTGAGACCTTGGAGGTTAGCTGCAGAGAAGCCAGTCTACCTGACTGCAAAACATAGGTTTAAGCCTGCTCCTGGGTTGTTCATCCACGAACTTGGGTTCCTGCATCAAACCTGATAATGTGTAGCTTAATCAGCATGGTCAGGTTCTTGCAGGACTAAGAAACTATGATCAACTATGCACCGGCAACAACTGCCCAAGATATTAAGGTTGCCAGTACAAACTACAGCTCGTAGAATTACAGTACTCAGCACATAAGACGCAGATGTCCCAAGAACATGCGCAGGCCTTTGCGCCAGCAACGCCCATCGAAACGAAGAGCGTCTGCGGAACGGCTTCTGAAAGCATCTAGTCTCAAGATGTCTCAAGCGCTGCAACCTGAATCGTTACCATGTTTCACTGATTGATGCACTGCTGTCCTCAGACGACGCAGCGCCAATCTATGCTGACGCGTATCAGTACGGCAACCACGACAAGAGTGGGGCGATACTTGTCTGATGCTATGGATGGCTCCTGCATGCCAAGAGCTGTGCTTCGTTTCGTGCAACTTGCTAAAGAAACTGATTGTGAAACCTGTTGCGAACTGCTTGATGTACCCACTCAGCGGCACCTCGAACTGGTCAATGGTCAGCTTGTTCTGCGAGACATCCAGCTCTTGAACGACTGGGGCAACATCCGCGTCTGGCCTCACAACTTTGGGTGGCTCAATGCGACATCAGCCCAGGACAAACTAGCGTAGATCCAGGTAGAGACTAGAAGAGACTAATTCTAGTAGATCTAGGAGAGAAGGCCACCAAATCAGGATCTGTGGGCGAGAATGAGGCGAAAGCGACGGACAATCCTGTCGACCCAGATGGCAGCTGTTGTCTTACTTCCTGGTGTGTTTGAAACCATTCGGCCATGCATTCACAGGAGACGAAGACCTGTGAGATCACACACGTGTACGTAGACACGAACACAGGGAAGCAGCTGCTTTGCAATAAAATACACTTGCTGCCGCGGTGGCTCTCTTTGCTCCAGCAGCGTGGTGAGCAGCGATTGCAGATTTTCAAGCATGGCCTGGCAAGATATCTGGCGCACACGCTAGCACAATCTAAGTGCCGAGCTCAAGAACAAGTGCTCTGGATATTTCGTGCCAAATGGGGGATGAGGCCCATCAGGGGAGGGTGCGACAAGACCAGAGTGGAAGTTCAGGAGTGGGTGGCTATAGGATCCTCATCCTGGAGCACCACGCAAGGTAATCAACGTTGACCATCCAATGTTTATGGCCTCAAAAGCTGCCGGCGTAGAGAAGCGGCCGCGGCCTGTGAGTTCAAAAACAACTGCTGGAGCAGATTGCCCAAGACGTTCTGCTGCAAACGGCTTGCAACAGCCGAGCTCGCCGTCAGCTTCCTGTGAGCTGAGCTGAATTTTGCGGGCCAAGTAGTACGGGTGGCGATATGGCTAGTGACGCAGTCCCAGCATGAAAGCATCAACAGGGCTAAGGGCCAGGTGTCCGTGCGTGTCAAGAACAGTGGCCTTTGACCTCGATACCAGCTGGCGTCTGCTGCAGCACTGGCCCCTTGGTGAAAATATTCAGGGTGCCAGGAGCCCGTACGCGCTTCAAAGCACTTTGCGTGCACAGCATCGCTGTTCCTTTGTAAACTCGGCTCGGGATTGATGACAGGGTCTTTTGCAATCCACCAGGGTTCACAGATGAACATGGTTACCACCTGCACGGCAGAAGTAACGCTCACAAGGCGCGCACCAGGTTGCTTGCATACCCCGGGAAGACCCCCTTAGCCAAAACATCTTTGCGTTTGAGTCTGTCCAAGCTCAACCAGCTCAGGACGCAGGGTGAGATGTTAGCCCGTGCAGAACAGCACCCTGAGGACACCGCCGCATAGCCTGATGCCATCGCCAACAATTCGTCAAACAGTGGTTGTTTGAACCTCCGGGCATCCATTTGTGGGGACACGGATGGAATCTAGTGAATCTAGTAGAAGGGCTCGAGAAAAAAGAAATTCAGCAGCATTCAAATCCTTCTGGTTGGATGTGTCCTCATCAGGAATACTGCAGCTTAGTTTCGTCTTGAATTGAACTATTGTACAGCTGGGAGGAGGGCCTGGGCGTGCGGCTCTTTCCAATGGAACGAATGGTTGTCTTTGGTCCCTGCGATACTACGAATGCCATACAGGCCCAACCTAGGGACCAGAGTTGGACGCAATGTAATCTCCTGCGAATCCCTTGCAATCCCTGTACTTACTTCGCAAAGTGCTACACAGTGTCAGACTGCCCTAGTGATCATAAGAAAAGAACTTAAAAAGTAATGAATATCAGAATGAGAAATCAGAATTAGAGTATAAAGTAAGAATGGAAAGCAAAATCAGAATCATCCGTCACAAATGGCGCACAGATGCAACAAGTGCGCTGTCTCATGATTTCTCTACGTTGAAACAGGTTTGCCGCAGCGTTTGCTGAAAGTTTGCGCGGCAGGTACTGTAACACATTTTGTGTGCAGGCTTTGCGAGCAGCTGACTTGAAAGGTTAATTGCCTCCAGTCTGCGGCGCCGCCTGTAACTACACACTTGACAATGATTACTTGATTTTGCAAGCTCGGGCAAAGCACTGAATGACGCTGCGTGGTCTGAAGGTATCGAACAAATACATGGCGTCCGCGAATGCGGTGAACTCAGATCTGAGGCGCGAATAATCAAAAATAAATCAAAGAAACAGTTGCCACATGTTGTCACTTCCACTTCGGAATGCAACCCTGATCCCAAGCCTGGAGAGTGGCCAATGGCATAGATGAGGTGTGCCAGCCAATCGACACGGTCAGCGAGCCATCCAACCCAGCTTGTGATAGAAGGTGTAATTTGATGATTGGGTTATGAGGGCCCATGGCGCTATCTTTGGAGGCACAGGCTAGCGGCCCAAGACAGCAGCTGCAGGCAAAGGCTTGGACTTTTGGCTGAGCCTGGCTACGCGTATGCCGCTTTAGATCTCTCGAGTGACAATTTGAAAACGATTCATGCATGCCACAACTCGTTGAAACTTACTGCCGATGTTTGCTTTACCATGGGCGCATGCAATAGTGTGAAGTGTGTTCTGCAGGTTCTTTCGATTGCAGTTGGCAGTCACCGGGCTTAAGCCCGACAGCTCTCGAATCAAAAAAAGCAAAGTCATGCTACAGCTTGATCAACATGAGCCAAGTGTCCTCAGACCTGTTGGAACAGTTCACTCCCCAACTCCCTAGCAGCCCAATGTTGACAAGACCTTGAGCAGGCTTTGGACCTTCTTGCTTCCGTGCTGCACCGTAATCATCGAAGCATGTCACATGCGAAGCCTGTGCCTTGCGTAGTCGCCGTGAAAGAAACAGCGTCTTTTCCTCATAGGATGTGTGACTACAAACGGGCCTGCCCCCTGGAAACGCGTAGGGCATTGCACGAGCTGCCGCCGGACTCGAGATCTTTCGGTAAGCTTCTGCACCAAAGTTGCTCACGTCCAAAGAAAGGCATCTGGTCAGGATTTGTCAACGGAAGTGTATGCTGTAGCCCGCTGTTTTGTTCTATATCCTCCCTACAAATGCCAATACATTGAAGCCTGCCTAGGTCATATGACTGTTCTCGGACTGGGGAAGCTGATGACCAGTGTGGTGGGAAGTACTTCTGCTGAATTCAAAAAAAACTGTGCTTCCACAACAGCTCGCGCAAAGCAGCGCCAATTATGCACCCTGCGGTAGGTAGATTCGAGGTGATGCGGAGCTTCTTTCGGCGAGCCGAAAGTGTTGTCAGGACACTGGGTGTGGAGACTGCATCAGTAGCAACACTCTCCGAACATCTCCGATCGCCAACAAGATTCATCTAAATCTGGCAAGAAAGCTCGTGTGCGTTCTTGGCTGTGGCATCCTGTGCCCTATAGAGCTGGAACTTACGACTCCGATCTTCAGCAGTCACGCGGGGTGCCTTCTTCCATCGCTTGCTGCTGTGAAAATGTCAGCTTTGCAACAGACGCTGAGTTCGGACGAGCTTGTATTGATGCTACACGCTCCTGGATTGGACTTTAGTTTGTTTTCCGGATTCTCTTAAGCTGCGGGTCGGCCACTGAGGCACAGAATAAGCATGTCAAAGGCCAAAAATTCAGCAGGGCGTAACTCAAACTGCCTTGTCCGATGCAGAAGCCGAACTCACAACTGCCCCTGCTCTTCCAGAAACCTGCGACAGAAACAGCTGCTTCATATTGCTTCATGCTAGATCTTGACAAACACACGAAGAACTATTTGGTCACACGGTTTGACTGTCACCTGTCGATCAGAACTTCGAGCCCGAATGAGTTGATTGGCTTGACCCAAGGCACTGCTCCAGAGATTGAGTCTGATGTCGCATCGGGTCGCGGATGCCCTTGTTCGTGAGGTCGCAAAACCTTCATGCATTGTTGCGGGGAGCTCTTGCAGCCATCGTTTCTTCATTACGTTGCCTTTTGCCTGCAGACTTGAAAAAAGAAGCTTCGGCACCGGTGAGACGAAAGTGAAGCCCAGTGCTCACATGCACGTGAAGCTCTGACAAATCATATCAAAACTTCTGCAGCAGATAAGATTCCGCATATGTTGTAAGACTGAAGCTACCGAAGCTCTCTCTGCTGGGCTGCCGCGCGCCCACCAGGCTTCCTTGGCAGTTTGGTCCGATCTCTGTAGCACCTCCAGCAAAGGAAATTCTGCCACCAGGCACTTAAGACGATTTGAATCCACAAGGCTCCGTGATCATGCAGGGCCGCTGCACAAGCTGCGCAGAAAAAACACTGAGAGCAACGACAAATTGCCGACAAAACATGGATACTTGCAATCACCTGCCACGGATGAAACCTGAACTCCAAGTTCAAGGAAAGTGCCCGAGCTGCCTTTATCTTATCAACCAGAGCTTGCTTGTGGCCGTCAGCATACTGACAGAAAGACACGCAAGTCAAACCCTGGTTCGGCCTTTCAGTATTCAGGGCACCGGGAACGGGGTGTAGGTGACATGGGGTCAATGGTGTGTTCAACTGTCTTGCCAAGTCTCTGAGGCACAGTCTACATTCCGTGTGTGTATGGGGCTTGCACTTTGGGATCGGTGAGTCACATATCGCTTTCCCCGCTTGGGCTTCGGAGTCCTACCGAGCTTTTTGTGGACAGCCTATCCTTGTCCAGCCGAAAACGCTGATAACAAATCCTCATGTCACTGCGCATATAAGCCTAGACTACAGTAGAAAAGATTGCGCTTCCTGTGCACTGATGCAACTAGCCTACGATGTCTTACGCTGCATTGCTTTTCTGAACTAGCTTGGCCGGACATCGCCCTGCCACACAAAAAATGATACAAGACTCACATGCACTCTGTGTTTGACTTCTCACAATGCGCACATGCAATCCCTCCGCGGGAATAGTGTCCTCTGCAGCTGGAGCGTCAAAGCGCGGCCTGCTTCGGCTTTGTGTGGTGACATCAGGCAAGGACATGTGTCGAGGCAGCATGCTGCCAGCAGTAATTAGTGGCCACAAGCACAGATCTGAGGCCAGTCACTGCCGGATCTTATGCTACACGTCTGGCTTCAGATCCGCAATAACACGTCACCAGCAAGGGTAGCTGATTTAGTTGAGGTCGACCTTCCCTCATGGAAAACGCCTCGCCATGACCAGCGGGCCTCTTGGAAGGCGGTTCTTCCACTACGACACCACCCAGCTCCAACTCTCGCCTGGGTTGGCAAGGTAGGCCTGTTATGGCCTTTGCCAGTGTCAACCTACTGGGCAGGCGGTCAAAACAGAAAACAACACATAAAGGAAATATGCTCCACAACGCAGGAACTGTAGCCAAGCTGGTCTCTTACGTTTGGCTTTAAAAACGCTTGGCCGTAACAGCTTCAACACAACTCGCACGAAAGAGTGACCGTGCACGCCAGCAGTCCAAAGTCTCAGATCTCTGCGCTCGCAAAGCGCAGATTCTCCGCAGCTGACTGACTGGTGCGGGGATGCGCAGGACGCTGACCTGCCTGAAACTTGCCGGGGGGCTGGGCGACCTCGCCGACGAAGTCAAAAAATTGGCGCAGGAAGGTCCTGGCAAACCAAGCTGAAATCTGGAGATGTTGCAACTTCCTAAATGCATGAAATTGGAACCGCGCTTAGCTGAGATTGGAAGTTGCGAAGAGTGCGAATGCAGCCACGCGAAGCTGATATAGCCGGACATGCAACTAAACTTGCGTAAAGCCCGGAAGTGAGGAAGGACTGACCGCCTGCCCTGTACAAAGGAAACGGTCACTAAGTATGCTGCCTCAACAGGTACCATGACGTGTGGTAGCGAACAAACTCCCAGGAAATCTGGCACTGGTCGACTCTGGATGCTTTGCAGGATCATTGATGGAGTTGCCGTAGGCGGAGCAGAAGGTCTGGACATGTCGGAAGTGTGACACAAAAGAAGACTCAGCGCAGCTCAGGCCGTAATAGGTGAATTTACCATCAGCAGTGCAGTGCCTCCAGCAGTGTGGGTAGCACACAGCTTGCACACTTTCACCCCGCCTGCCAGGCAGCTCGCCAGTTTGGCGAAGCCCTGGAACACTCGTGATCGTGCCAAACAGGCTGAAATTCTGGGTGTTTCTCTTGACATGTTCTTACAACCTGCGACTTGGGCTATGACTTTGGTGGAGACCACAAAGGCCATTACGCTTGAATTCTTGCTGGTGCTTTTTTTACGCTTGCCATCAAGAAAGTCTTGGATGTTGGAACTGTTTTGGCTGAGCCATGGGAAAGTGGCCCTTGGTTTCAGATTCAAGTTCGGGCCTCTGCCCGACCTTGACCACCTCTGCCATTGGGCTCATCACTGCAGCCGCCATCACAGGCCTTCGCAGACTAGCATGTCTGCTTGCAGGGCACATGTGGCGTCGCCCACTTGTCCGTACAAGCAGCGGTCACGGGTTTCTCAACATGGGGTCCTCTTCGGGACCTTAGGGACATACAGGGATGACAGGAGGAAAGCAGAACTTCGTCTCAATAGTGCATTATGCCCAAAAATTAGCGGTAGTTAGGCATCTGAACATGCTGAAAATGCGTATTCACCGATATTAGAGATTATGCTGCATCAGCCAATATCTAAACTCTTGCAATCAACTATGTTGGCCAAAGCAAGCAGCTACTGGCGATGCGCCGGCAGCGGTCTGTGTGGTCTCTGATCCTTGCGGAGCTCTTAATAGGAAATCCTGCTGGTCGGTGGTAGTGTGGTAGAGCTGGACAGATGCTGGACAGGAAACGATCGCTGCACGCAGCAGCATTCAACAAGTTCAGTCCAACGTCAGCGGGGGGCACGAATCGGATCGGCAGGGGTCTGATAGAGAAGCTGGATCGGATCAGGGTAATCGCGAAGCGGATCGCGCGGAGTCCCGAAGCGGATCGGACTCGCGGATCTTCCTCCCCATCAGGCCCTTCAGGGGCCCAGAGTCAGGGCTTCCGAAGCCCTGGCCTGCCCGACACCTTAAAGCCAGACCCACAGCGTCTAAGACACTTCTGCTGAAGAAAGTGTTGGCCAAGAAGGACCTGATTGAGTTTAGGTTTAAACCCTGACAAGAACAGGTTTGGGTGGCCTGGCTGCATCAACTGATGTGGGTCTGGTGATGAGTCTTCAAGACAGAAAACCTTGACCATATACCCGAATTGTAGCCCTAAGCCCTGAACCCTAAACCCTGCAACCCTAAACCATAAACCGTCATAAACCCTAAACCAAAACCTTCAACCCCAGACCCTAAACCCTTAGCCCAGAGCCCTAGACCCTACCCTAACCCTAAAGCCCGAAACCCTAGAAAGCTACAGGAACCTGAGGCCTACACTACAGCCCATAACGGTACAGCCAACCATCAACCTGAAGCCCTCAAATCCTAAACTCCCACCCAGGCCTGCATAGGCAGTACCCACCCTTGTCCATGACTTCTAACCCTCCAGACCGCAAACCTTGAGTTCGAAGCCTACAGGCTAAAACCCTAAACCGTGTATGGCTTGGTCCAACGTCTCGTGCTACGTCTCGTGAATCTGCGGGCCCAGGCCGAGCGGATGGAGTCAGCCGCGGCGCCCCAGCTGGAATCTGTCGTACAAACAGCCAGGAGAAGATATTTCATTGACAATTGAATTCCTGGATGCGGCCATGCTGTCCAATCCTTCCATGACTGAAATGCTGGCAAAGTTGGTATCTTACGGGCTCGCAGATCGGATGGACCATGCCGCCTCCAGGGACAAATTACTGCAAAATGACTTGACTCGTTGCAATCTGGCAGCCACCCTCGACGACGTGTATGCTGCAGAAGGGATCTGTGATGAAAATCGCGAAGTCGGAGACCTGCTATGCACAAAGAGATTGCGCATCGCATGCTACCTGGCATGCATCTTCGATTTTCTGATAACTCGGTGCCACGACTAAAGTTGTCAAAAACCTGTCAGATATAACGTCCGAGGCATTCCTCAAAAAGTAGGCCATGTCAACCCCTGATTGGCAACAGTTGCTTCGCAGAAGAGAAGATGCCAAGAGGAACCATGAGGAACCGTAAAGTCGAGATGCCCTCAAAAACAAGGGAAAAAGAAACCTCAAAGCACATATAAATACGAGCACAGGGGTACCTCAACTAGTGCGAGCCCTGACCGGTCAAACGAATGCCATGCCTTCCATGATCTAGCACTTGCCACTGTCATCAACGCATGGGCTCAGGAGCATACTGCCCCAGCTCCGAGTATGGAAAGATGCATTCAAGAACCCAGAAGCCCTTGAGCGGAAGTACGTCAAACCCTTGCAAGGCAAAACTACGTCCCGCATCCCAGCGAGTTCTGACTCAAATCTCGCTTCAACAGGCTTCAAAGGGTTCTGCATTCTGCAGGTGGTGTTGGGCGAGGAGTGCCTCTGTTGAGGTCTGGAGGGGGTGTAACCTGGCCACAGGGCTTGGGCTTTGCAGAGGGGAAGCAGCCAGAAAGGGTGGGAAAAGGGTTCTTGGGCAAGATTGATTGGAGGGTGCAAGCCTTGCAGCTGCGAGGGAATAAGTGCAAAACGCTTTGTCGGGTATGGCAGTGCAACCTTGCGCAGGACGCGCGGTCATACTTCGGGAAAGTTGGAGCTCGCATGGTGGATCGAGGTACACTTGGGTATCGCGCACACTAGCAAAGCTGCTCAATAACTAGTTTATTGGATGCAGAGCGGCCTCGGTCTAGTCGGCTGGGAATTCAAAATGAGCTAGGAAATGGGGAAGATTTTGGCAGGCCAGGCTAACACGCGAGGCGGGTCCAAGGTGGCATCTCTTTGGTGAGATAAGCACCCAGACGTTGCAAGATCAAATGCTGGAACAAGCCTAAAAGCACAAGTTCTGAGAGATATGAGGGTATGGGCTGCAGCTCCCCTGCCGGTGCAAAGATGGCTGCCTCTGCCTCCTGAACACCCGCCGCTTTCGTACGTCGACAAAAAATTCGACAAGGTGTACTCATCGTGCCGATTGGGGTCCTCGCAGGTGGTGCCACGTCTACAGCACACGCGTCTTCCTACTGCTTGCGTTGGCATCGTACACTGAGAACCATGTAGCAGAGGCTTACCTGACTTAGCCAAAGCAGCCAAGCAAGAAAATGAGTATGAAGACGGCGTCTTGGAGGCAAAGATACACCAAGTACCTCTCTGACAGCAGACAGCCTGCAGAACTGTGTCTGAGATGGTACGATAACCAAAGCACTCAGCAGCTCAGCAGTTCAGCCCTCGCGCCACCCCACGATTGGGTTTAGGACTCCCGAGATGCAGTTCAACCGCAAGTCATTTCTGGCTGTCCTTCACCCCACTGTGCTGTTCTTCGCAATAGCTCCACCATGCCTTCAGCCAGAAACTTTGAACAGCACCTATCTGCAAGAACCAAGTAGGAAGTTGGAGGAGCTTAGCCATGTATAGCTCAAGCAATCGTTTGGGTCACAAGTATTCTGGACGCAACAGGTGCATCGGACACGCCGCAGACATCAGAGAGCACTGTTGCACCTCGCAGCACTACTTGAGACATTGAGTGATACATTGAGCCCTGTCTTGATTATCTTAAACTGCCACACAGCGGTACTCGATGGTACACGAATGAGCTCCAGCGCATAGCCGGCATAGCCTGCTTGGCATTCTCATCTGTCCGCTGCAAGCTCTTGATGCGATCAACAAGGTCTGCCTGCAGGACCACAGGGTCGAATGTGAAGATTTGATGGAGGCTCGGACGCTTTGAGTTCACGTTTGCGCACGTTTGCGTCCGCATTGCGCCGGCTTGGACTGGCTTGAACGTTTAGAGCTCAAGGCATCGACCTTATGAAGACCTTGATGAACATTATGGACTAAGGCGAGAAAATGGCTTCAGGTAACACTGAAATTGCCTCGCCTTCCGTGCCATGCTGGCGTTTCCTACCAAGGCTCCACACTGGAGCAGCCAGCTCCGCTACAAAGCTTGATGAGGACACACAACGAATGTGCAGCAAATGGCTTGCAGTCTGCTGTGTTGCAGATAGCTGACATCATGCAGATTACAGGGCACTGTAAGGGGTAGCATGTCACCAGGACTTGTTTGACTCATATCTCTGCCTTGCATATGAAGGTTTTGGATCCAGTGCTGGCGTCCACTAGCTGCGACACCTGAGGTGCGGCATGCAGCCCATTGCAGATTTTGACAACACAGTGGGCTCAATGCCTGGGATGATCGAGCCTGCACAGCGCATAACTGCTGACAGAAGCCATATAGTTTCCCAGGATAATCCGAGATCATGGGTGAGACGCTGCCGCGGTGCCAAGTCAGAGAACTTTCGAGCTTTCAGGTGGGTGGATTCCCAACCCATTAACGAATCTTAAGCACTTGCATGTCCTCCATGCTTTGATGGTTTTTAAGAGAAAATGACACTCTCAACTTTCGAAGCTCTGCAAGCGTTTGCGCGGAGAGCTCAGTTAGTCATCATCTTTAACCTAGCTTGGGTCTGAACTTGTTGGCAATTGGTGTGCTAAGCGATGTAACAGATTGATGACTTCTGCTTTGAAGAGCATTCCTTTTGCAACGCACCACTAGTCTTATGATTTGCGGCCCAGTTCCCCCCTTCTAGTGTAAAGACTCACAACTATAGAACTTGAAACTTGAAGCCAACGCATACCCGGATGCATGCCTTTGGGATTCGGGCTTCACGCATAAAGCAGTCAAAGCACAAGACTTCATGTAACAAAGCAAGAAGTGGTCCATCCCACAGCCCTGTCCATACCATCTTGTCACTAGCGGCCAGCATGACACAGGAATCGCGCAGGCCATGCCCCAAGCAATTCCAGAAAGGTTGGACCTTGTCCGAACGCTTGAAAAGCCTTGAAAAGACGCAGAAGATGGGGCATAGCTGCTATAGCTTGCTTGAAACCAAAGGCAAAGAGCACAGCATTGGCTTTGTACTGTGCATTCTCTGCCCAATCAATGGAATTTGCGTGTTCTTACGCTCAAGCAGGTCGCATTTCAGGGCATTCACGCAGACAGTAGTTCCATTAACTTGCTCCGGAATCAGGACAGATTTCCCTGCCCGGGATCATCCTTGCGCCGCCTGACGGCTCACATGAAGTCTGACACAGCCAACCTGTCTTTCTGGTGGCTCTCCTCCGCTTCCTGCCCGGGTCAAAGGCTCATGGTCGTCAATCTTAATTCAATGCTTGGCCCGTGGCCTTCGCATCTTTTTGGTGGCCAAGAAGGCGAACTTGCGCGCAGGCTTCCTGCACATCCTTCTGCATGTCCGCAAGCCTGATCACTGGCCAGAGCTTTAAACGAAGTTGTCCAAGCTATAACCATCCGACAGAGATCCCCAGCAAAGGCTGCAACTGTCTCAGAGAGTAGCCTCTCGCACCCTGTGTCGTGGCACAACGTCGCATTGGCATGGCACAAGCTCACAAGCAGAGCTAGCGTTCAGTATAAATCACCAGTGACTTCTATCTGGCTTCGTGCGGTTGGTGCCTTGTTTCGGCAATGTCATGATCAGGATGCACTGCTGTAGCTACATACCAGGATTACAAAATCATCAAGGTAGGAAGTCCCTCGGCACTTGGTTAATACGAAGCTTCAGGAAAATTACGGGGCTTGCATGCCGGAAGACTGCTTCATGAACACGAAGAAAGGCGGCGCAGTCCATTCATCAAGCATCTGAAAGCCGCCCATTCCTGGCGTCTGGCTTTCTTCATCTACGTTCTTAGGGTTTGTGCATATTGCATGGAGTTACAGTCTTGTCCAGTCCAGTCCAGGCAATGGTGCAGATAGAGCTGCAACATCCCAAACCATGACACATCGCACAGCTGACGCCAAGTCCTTTACTTACCATTTGCAAAACTACTAGAATCCTCCTGGCATGCCGCCGCCCATGGCACCCATGGGGTTGGCTTTCCGCTGCTTGTACCTGTGGGAAGGACTTGCTCCGTCTAGAAGAATGATAGCAGAAAGTAGAAGTAGTCTCAGTAGCAGTACCTGCACTACTAGGACTCATAGCAACCGTAGCTGGCTAGCAAAGTGTGGCCGGTCTCTGAGCGAGTGCTTTGCAAAGCCATGCAACATGAACAATTGATCTAACATCCTCGCAAGGCGTCCTTTCCTGTATTAAGGTCCCTCTGTCCTCGTTTCAAATTTACGGACACGGCTGTGTGAAATGGCGTTTTCGCATTTGCCTGACCTTAGTCTTGTGAAAATCTCCGAGGATTGAAAAGATAGACAGCGCTCAATCGTACAGCCCCTGAGAATGTGGCCGGTGGCCCGACTCCTGCATTTCCTGTGTGTCATAAGGCCAATGCTCCCTCTTCTCAACCCTGAGCGAGGCGATGTTGCCAGTACCGATATGTGCCATCTCTCACCGTCGACTGCAAAGATGCCTTGTGGCGTTGGAAGGTAACAAGCGGCTTGCGGCCCAAGCTGCTTGTTGTACGCGTGGCCCGCGGCAGCGCCAGCAGCTGCGCCAACAAGAGAGGTAAGTTTGCAGTTCATACTGCACAACCTTGGTGCGTGTTCGCCAGAAATGTGACGGATCCTGAAGGTTGGTTTCAGCAGCTCACTGGGTGAAAAATTTAGCACAGGCGGGCATTGGGTATCCTGACAGCTTTCCAACGACGCCTTGCATTCTCTGCTCCATTTACATCTCAGCCTGCAGTAGCTCTGGGCCTCTACCTTCTAAAGACGGTGAGAAAAAACTGAGCCCTGTGGTGCCCTAAAAGTTGAAGCCGCAACAAAGTTGCCTGTCAAAGAATGTCCAACAACTGCACCGACTGTGGGGCGGCTTCGAACTAAACGCGTTCGACTCACATCAGCCTTCAGGCCTCATTGCCGGAGGCTGAGGGTACACAGGAGCCATTGCTCCACGACACAACTCCAACTTCACAAAGCACTTCAGCTGCCAGACAAAAACTCCACCATCTGACTAGAAGGACCCCACACCTCCAGGGAACAATCCTGCCAAACGCCCACCAAAAAAATCAAAGCTCAACACCGCCCATGAAGACCTTGAGGAAGACAAATTCTACATTACACGATCCTAACCCGTGATGAAAGGCCATCCTGCAGGCAAAGGTCTGCTTCTCAATCGTTCCAATCCTGAGCTTGCGAACAGGTTTGCAGCATTTTCCAGCAGCTCCAACGAGGAGCGGTACGCAGCAATGATTGCACACACTACAAGCTGGACTGAGAACCAGCGTGAGGAAACCTTCCCAGCATGGATGCAGCTCGGGGTCTGCTTCTGGAGTTTCTCCATGCTATCTGCTGCGTTCTCCTCGTCTTTTGCGTCCTCTGCGTGAGGCTTGGTTTGCAACAACTTCAACTAAGCATCAATTTGCATGCAGAAAAAACCCTCGAATCAAGAGATCAAACTCTTTGAGCACAATGCTATGACGCGCTATAAGCAGGGAGCTGAAGCTGTCTGAATGAATCGGTTTCGTACAAGGCGTGTACGAGGGAGCCCTCAAAACGAGAACCATCAAGTGGAGGATTCCGCGCTGCATCCAATTCAAACTTGATCTGGCTGCTCCAGCAAGGAAGTGGAAGTCTCAGAAGCCCACCGGGTGGTGCTGTTCCGTTTCTTGAGGTGGGCAAGCTAGCAGGCTAGAAGCGGAACGACGGCATCCAGGCCTTCTCATCCTTCTTCATGAACAAACTCAGGGGGTTGATGGCACCCAACATGCCGCCGATGGCACCTTTCCGACAAACTCAGGCGGCTTGGAGACTTGCTGAACTGCGTTGCAACTGCAGAAGGTCTACGGTTCGGCACACGGGTTTACGAAAGAGAAACAGCTTTCTGTGGCACCTGTGACGCCACCAGGGCAGTGTGTCTGGCAGAGAAGAAATGCGAGACCGCCAGCTGCAGCGGCACCTTCAAAAGACATTCACTTTGATTAAGTTCCACCTGCTGTAAATGGACAGTGGTGACTTCTGGCTTGTTGCGCTAGACCACCCAGGCCTTCAATACCTAGGCACTGGATCACGGCTTGATGCTTGAGGGCTTCAGGTTGACTGCGCGTGGCTGACTCGACTCTGGTGGCAGGGTCTGAGCAAGTCACTCTACATCAAGACCGCACGAAACCGGGGCCACGTTGGATTTTTTGGTGCGTTTCAGCCCAGCATGCTTGGAATGCGCTATGTCGAGCGTTCTTTCCTTAGTGAAACAGCACTCTACTCCTCGTTTCAGAAACATATCCACATGCACACAGGCCTCCCGCAACCGCCCCAATCATAGACGTGGGCTCCTGGTACATGCGATTATGACGCTCAGCTTGGTGCCAGTATGCTTGCCACTGCCAAAGTGCAAGCAGCTGCCAGCATTTGGCGCTTTGGAAGTGCAGTTCAGAGATGTGCCCCCATCCAAGGTGCCTGAACCTCTGTGGAAAGCCCTCCATGGCTGAAGCGGCTCTTGAAGATGGGCGGCATGGCAGATACCGCAAGTCTTTCTGAACACTTCTGCCTGTGGCAGTTTCTGGAATGGGCTCTTGCAGGCCTAGGCCAGCAGTCTCTCGTGTCTAATGTGCTTCTTGATGATGCGTACTTAAACATGATCTGTCGAGCTGCCAAAGCTGTTAAGTCCTTCTCAGCCTTGAGCCTTAGCCTCAGGGCATTTCCTGGTGAGTCTGAGCCGTGCTTGCTATGCCATATCATTCGTAGGCAAACTCGGCGGCAGGGGCCTCAACATATGCCAGCATAATGAACCATATACAGAAAAAGTTGCGGAAATGCAACGGGCGCAGGAGGATCGCAGATTCTTTCACCAGCTGTCGCTGTTGCCCGTGCTGAACCCGGCAGGCAAACTCAAGCCCAGCAGACCTTGCAAAAAGGTGATAGGTTCCACTTACAGGCAAGGCAAAACCGACCCTCTGAGATGCTAAATCCTCATCACAATGCTAAGCAGCTGGAGCTCATGAAGCACCTCAGGCATAGCCTGCCATCGGTGAGCAACCTCCTCAGGTCAACTGATATTGTCGAGGAAGGCGCTCTGGTTTTGTTTCTATACTGTGCAGGTGTCAAGACTTCAGACTTGAAGCTTTTTCGTTAATGCTAGGATGATCACTTGTGTTGCACGTCGAGCCTACGGCCCAAATGGAGGCAGAAAAGGGACCGTACCAGGGTTCTTGTCCAGCCGCATAACAGCCGATGATGTTGCTGACGGTGATGGCACTCGGTGTCTCACATATCTGCTCCAGCAGTCCGCCAGCAACCTCGCGCCAAAGCATGCGCAACATGACATGAGCAATCGTAAACAGAGATGTGGGCCCCTGCTTGCACGAATTCATGTTGGCACTGGTAGTGAGTACGGTTTTATCCTTTGAGGTGCACTTTATCGCCAGAGAGAAGCAGTTACACACGGCTCGTTGTGCAAACGAAACCCCTGCCTTGCCTGGCATTCGCGACATGGCGACACTACAGCCATAGGTGCGGCCACTTCCAGTTCTCCGCAACTAGTAGCAGTGATGAGTGATAATCGGCATCAGAACAATCATTGCGGCTGCTGGCAGGGGGGTGTAGGCACAAACGGTTAAAAAAAAACTTGCGGCAAGATTACAATATACTAGCAGCAACCCAAGAGTGTAGTGTAATAATACCAACAATCGTGATAACAGCATAAGAGTTGATTGCGAGCTTGCCTCCTTCCCAGCTTGAAATTCAAATCGTCCAACGACTTCCCTGCAAAGCCCTTGGACCAAACCATCTGAACCAGTACCAAGCAATCCGAAGTCCCATGCCACCAGGCCTTCCAAAGCCCAAGGGATTCGCAAGCGCTGCTCGTGCTGCTGCATGAGATTGCATCTGGAAGGACCTTGCCAAGATTAGTTCAAGGCGAGTCAGGGATGTGCCAACCATCTCCACAAAGAGGGTCGGAGTTGCCAGGCTTCTGCGCAAGCAAAATTCTCCCCAGAATCGGTAAACTGAAGCAACATGTTGCGCCCTTCATATCTTTGTCTCAGCTCGATGCGCTTCCCCAGTCAGCCATTACACTGAGGGAGTTGCACAGTCATACGTTGCAACCTATCTAAAAGTCGAGGTTGTTTGCTTGGTAGAAACAACTCAGCGTAGCAACCCTGCACCCTGCCTGGTCGGTGCACATCTGCGCATACCATGACACGGCCAGGCGCCACCTGTGGCATGCAGCGCACCATCAGCGCACCCCACATTTGCGTCGCACAGCAAATGCAAATGGCACTGGACTGGCTCGGAAGAAACCTCTAGATAACACCCGTTTGTGTCATAAGCGGCCGCGGTGTGCACCCTTGCCACAGTTGCCAAAGGACGACCCTATATCCAGGAGGCTTCCACGAAGCTGCGTGAGCGCTGATCACCGCATTCAATGTGACCAGTTGCCGGCGCAGCCTCTCGCAAGCAAAGCAAAATCCAGGTTAATTGGTGCACGCCCTGCTAGCATCGCTGAGGAGATCTGCATGTGACACGGAAGCTATTTCATAAGGGCAACACCAGCGACAGGTCCACCTGTGACTGCATTCTACACGCAAGAGCCGCGGAAGAGAATGCTCGAGCTTGATGTTCCCACCCTGGGCTCCTCTGCGCGGACATCACCTCAAACAGCTTTCCAGCAGAGCGCCATCGGCTTTCCTCCAACATGAGCAGCTGCATGTATGTCAGCCATTGCAGGCTTCTGTCGTGCCGCGAAGCATTTCTTCACCCGCGTGCCAGGCCCCCATGCAGATCCAAGAGTGCTGTTATCCTACAAGTCTCTGTTCATGGCCTTTTCGCATGCACTGATGGCGCTGCTGTAGCCTGCAGCTCAAGATAGGTCAGAATCAGAATCATGCAACGTTGCAGGCTGACAAAATCAAAGAGTCGGCGTCTGCTTGTGTGTTGCCTGCAGCAAAACTTGGAAATTTTTAGTGGACCGACAGCTACCGTATTGCCTGGATCACAGTTCTGGACTCAGGAATCTGAGCCAGCAACTGGTTTGAAGCGACTGCGATGAAGCTTCTCTCCCACAAGGATGCCCCTATCCAAAACCAAAGTTGTCTTATGGGAAAGTGATTTGGAACCAGTCTGCAGACATCACAACGTACTAAGCTGCGACACTCTCGCGGCCAACTTTTGAAAACAGTGCGGACTTTGGGCAAGTGACTCTTGAGCTCAATTAGCTACTCCTGAGCCGAAGCTCTTGTGGTGGTGTTCCTACAGCACGCTTGATCAAAAAATGCACTTGCACCAGCAGCAGCCAAACGCAGAACAGCTTTAAAACCAGTAGCAATTATCGCTCTAAGTCTGACAAACGCCTTTATCAATCTGATACCTGCACAGGCCCTTGGAGCACTGTCAGAAACCATTAAAGTTGAGGAAGGGCGTGGCCCTTCCCCCTCAACTCTGGACTGCAAAGCGGATAGAATCTGAACCAGGAAAAATAACTGATGACGTCCGCCAGCACAGTAACCTTCAGGGCTCAGTTGGATGGCGATGACCACTTGCCGTCCACACTCGTGCTGTCAAAGGACCCAAGACATTACAGGACGCTGAGTCCACATCAGGAAACGGCCATCTTGTTCAACCTTCTGACTGCAAGTCTCTTAAAGAGCCTGATCCCACCTCGGCCAACATGGTCAATAGGCATGGCGCAAGCTGCCACTGTCGTCCCTTTTCCTCAGAGCTTGGCCCGTCCCAGCGCTACACTAGAGACAATACACAACCGCAAATCTGCACTCGCCCACAAGGCTTAAATGCTAGCAGCTGGCCAAAAGCAGCCTCCACCTTGCAAACCGATTTATGCTGCCATGCGACGCAAGCACTTATGGCACCGTTGTGGCCGATTGTGCATGGCCTCAAGCGTGCATCTTGCTGTAGGTATGTTGCCTTTCCTTTGGTGTTGCGGGAACACGGAAGTCTAGACTATGGTTCGGCAGTCGTGCGTGCTGCCTGCAGCTTACTGCAATGCAGCCGAGCCCGAACATCGATGTAAATTGATAGTTAGTTACTTCCGTCATCTTCCTTCCATAAGCCTGGTCGGCATTGGCCTCGCAAAGAAGAAGGCGAACGATTTCCACAAGGCTCTTGGCACGGCTGTCCGAGCCAGTCAGGAAGCGCTACCTTGTCACAGGCGATTGCTCTGGTCCCCTCGACGTACTTGATGTCTTTCAGTAGCTGGTACCTTTCTGCCAAGCATGCCAAAGACAGCGTCTATGTTTTCAACCAGGTACATAGTCCCGGACCTTTGGTGTCCAAATTCATACGGAGCGCAGTTGCGAAAGTTCATCATCTGCACCTTACAAGACCGCTTGCCTCGCAGGAGCCACTTTGCCATAGGCGGAGAGTACGGTGATTGCGTAGGTCCGAACATGGTTCTGGCCCACTTGCTGTTCTGCAAGCCACAGCCAGGCGCGCAGCTCCAATTTAAGACCATAAGACCATGTGCAAAGTCCCAAGTTCACACCGCCGATGCATGCAGGTCGCTCATCTTGATACGCTTTTTCTTTTCACACATTTTCTGTCAAATAGCCTGCGTGCTAAGTGGGTGGTACAAAACTTAGAGCCCTGAACATTTTTGCGAATGACATTTGGCGCAGAATGACGTTGTGGTGCCAAAGCCCGTGTCCATGTGTGAGTTTACACCGCTTGTCTCATGGCTAGAAAATCTAGAAAGAAAAGCATCAGTAAACACGCCGCAAGTGCGTGGTACCTAGCCCAAATCTGGCGAGGTGCAATGCGCGGGTTTATCCTGAAAGCTTATGGCCCATGGGCTACGACCCTTGGCTTTCACCCTCATAAGTCTGTACCCCAAACTCTCAACTGCGAACATAAATCCCGGCGATTTGGGACCTCTCACTACAAAACCGTTTTTTGACCAGTGGAGAACATGTTGGTTGTCCTTCGATCTCAAGAAAAAGGAAAAGAACCGCCAAATCCTTGAACTGGCACCCCAGAGTGGCCTCACGTTTTGTCGAGCCATGCACAACAGCAGCCAGAGGGCAAGCTGCCATTTCTCCTGATCTTAACACAAAGCAAATCGCAAGCAAGACAGACATGCTCGAAAAAAATGCAGAATTGCAGGTGCGAATGCTCTGGACATGACCTTCCGCATGAATGATGATTGAAGTTTTTGGCTCAGCAGGAAGGATGCCAAAATGTTGCCTAGTTGAAATTGAATAGCAGTTCTTGCCGCCAAGAACAAGCCTGAAAAAATTACAAGCGACAAGTTTGGCACAGCCTTTTAGAAAGGAACCGGAAAGTAAAAGTGGCCGGACACTTGCTTCTCGCCGGCGCTGATTGCAGCATTGAAGCCTTGACAAACACGTGAGAACTCAAAAGGCACCATGGGGGAATGATGGTGTGACGATATGCCGAGTTGCTGATCGCGTTGTTTTGAAGGCTTGCAGTTGCCATCTGGAAGAAGAGGCTCAGGGCTGCTACCCACACCTCCAACACATTCCCCACACAGAATAAGGCTCAGCGGATTCAGCTTGAAGAATGTCGGCCTCAAGGTCTGAAGCCGTAGGATGTTGCACGCTCCCAAACCTCTTGTTGCTGTTGTCCAGCAACTGGCTACAGGCGCGCTAGGGGCTTTCTTTGTCTGGACTCGCTGAGCTGTCGAAAGACTGTTGGTTGCCCCTCCCCACAGACAGCACGACTTCTCCAACCTCAAGTTGTCTATCTGGCTGGATCCACCCTCCAACTCGCACGTACAGCACTCACTTCTCGGAGGTGCGCATATGGGGCAGGTCAAGCCCGTGATAACAGGGGCTTCCTACCAAGGGTGTTAAATGGTGTTAAGACATGCCAATGCAGCCAGCCCAAAAAATCTCATGCACATCCTACAGGGTGCAACGTTTCAAGGTCAAGTGAGTGAACCATCGACTTCGCACAGCATGGATCGCATGTGATACCAAAACTGGCAATCATGGCCTTGACGCCTTAGATGGCCTGGCCGTCAACGGAGCGGGCGTTAGAAGAATGATGAAGATTCAGAGCAGCCCCATCACGTCTCTACACCAAATCCTGCCTTGCCACAAGAACTGATGGCCGCGTTCCAGCTGATTTCATCGGACCGCATCGTGCGCTCCTGGAGCAACTGGAGTAGCCTGGCATGCCACTCATGCCATGCGAGTCATCTGCATCATGCCAACTCTTGCCAAATCAACGAATGTGCATACCCTCGTAGTTTCAGGCACAAGGTACAACCGCTAGCGACTGGTGGCATGCGCTTGGCAGGGATGTTGCGCAGATAGCATAAAACTCCGGCAGTTCCACTCTTGTCACCCCTGACCCCATGTTGCTCCAAGAAACGCAAGAGCAGTTAGCCAGTGTCCAGCTTTCCTGCGGGAGGGATGCACGTTGGCAGTAACTTCTTGCGAGCTTCCGCGTAACAAGCCAGCACCATCCTTCCTGCTTGGTTGACTAAAGACAGGTTTCACGGCACACGGCACCATGCGTGGTTGGTTCAGTTTGCTTGGCAGGATAAAGGCCAAGTTTCTCGCACGCACTGATTGCGCAGGTGAAGCTCACCACGTCAGGAGAGGCCTAAGGTTTCCAAGTCATCTGCAAACAGATCAAAGGTCACACGGTAGAACGCCTCTCGCAGACTGCATGTCATATCTGGCGCTAGGCGAAACAAGCACATCAGATCGGCTTCAATGTCAAGGCTATCTTGACACACTTCCATAGTTGAAATGTTATCGATTCTCGGAAGGCCTTTCTGAACCACATCTCGTCCATGAGAGACAGGGCATATTGCCAGAGCGAACACTTTTCGAAGCAGCCGATGATGCCATTGAAGCCTGGGATCTGCTTCGTCCGGTCGTGGAGCGTTTGTTCTGCAGGCCGCCAAAGAGCATCCACGATTATGATTATGGATAAAATGTACTTCGCCAAGTTGCTTATGACATCTGGCAAGACCATTTTGTGCCTCATGTCCTTGGCATCTGGGTAGCAGCGGCAAAGCATGTCTGAAAATTCAGCACAGCTATGTGCCTCACCAAGTTCCCTACCTGGAAGCTTTAGTTCCATTTCTTAACTGCCGTGTAGCAACTGAGAAAAGCTGCAGCGCGATCTGCCATTCTCTCGATTTTTCCGCTGCAGCAATTGCGCTGCTGAAGGAGACCCTGGGCTGGAGACTTCTATGAAGTGCATTGGGAGCTTTCCCACCAGGCCAAGGTACACGTCAGGCAGCAAGTGCTGACTGGGCAGCTCTGACAGCAGCGCCACTGCCGCTGTCCATTCTCCTGACTTCCTCAGCCCAAAGCAGGGGCTTCGAAGTTACAGACGAACCAAACATCTGCGCAAGGCGCCAATCAGCAACGAGCTTATGGATTTGGTGCTGCTTTGCGAACCAGAAGTCGCAGTAGCATTAAGAGCGCTGTTCATCATGATGGCCTTGGCGCAAAGGACTCTGAGCTGGCAAATGGCCCAAGATGCTCATATTCAGCACTCTGTCAGCCAGCCACTTGCAAAAGCATGATAAATCACGGGGCACTGTGTCACGAAGATCAACCTGGCAATCCTGCCTCTATAGTTCGCCGGCCGTCCATCCACAACGCAAAAATGGAGCTACAAATAATCCAGAAAACAAAACACGAGCGTTGGTCCGAATTGGCGCTCAATTTGTCCTGGCAGCATTGGGCTGTACTGCAATCATGCGCGTTGCGTCCAGCAGCCGCAGTGCCAGGTTCCAGCACCTTAGGATGTGTCACAATGCCGCACTTTGGCACCTGCTTTCTTCCAAGGCTACAAAAGCAAATCGGGAAAGGATGGTGTTGCGTTTGTTCTGGCAGCTTCAGTTCAACACGTACAAAAAAAGTGAATGGCCTCAAGTAAGTAGCCTTCCATGGCTCAACATCTGTGGATTCTGTCACACCGGCTCGCTGTCTTATGGTGATTCTGGCATGACTGATTTTGTTCTTGACAAGGTCACCAATCTTGAATGCCGGCAGTCACCACGCTGCTGTAACCTTGGTTGTTGGGGAAAATAATGTTGAATGTCATGGCAGTTGTGTGCAGCCCTCTGCGTTTCAGTTATTCGTGTATCAGGCTCCATTGTCGAGCAATCCTGATGTGTGGAATCCCTGTCAACTCTCAGGCTTGCAATGCAGGACGATGTTGCCAGCAGGAGTGGATCCTGCACGACTAGCCGTGCTCATCCGACAGGTAAACAGTAAAGGTTCATGCCACGGTCAGCTCACAGAGAAATGACGATCTAGTCAATGAGTAACCAGGCAAGGTCTCCTGCATTCCTGGCGTGGGCTATGCATGCCAGAATGCATGTAAGACTTCGGAGACTTTGCGACTCCTGTTCTGCGATGGCACTAGACCATCTACACATGGATGTTGACAAGCAGATGTTCCAACTTACATCCTCTTGTCCACGCACTGCATGCTGACTTTGCGAACCTGCGAACAAGTCATCGGCCATCTGTTTGCATCGTACGTCAGGGGGCTGATAATGTCAGGGTCCAGCTCACGCTGTTCCATATGCGCTGGAAGCTGAATGGCCACCTGCTAGCGACAGCAATCGGATAGCATTTCAGTCTTCTGGCCATGGCCTTTTTTGGCACCGGCAGCTGGTACACACGAGACTTGCTCAAAGATTCAGGCTTGAGAACGAAAGGACGGTCCTTGCGCAATATCCTGCCTGCCACGCACCACCTGTACTGCAAGAGCTCATGGTTGTGTTGAAGCCTCACAAGACATTCCCCCAATTTGGTCTGATGGCTCAGCTCAATGCCAGCTTCTTTGCCTGATTCATGGTCAATCTCGTAAATCACTCTTTTACTCACAATGAACACGTTGAGGTGAGCTGGTTAATACCTGGCACCCAAATCTGCCAAATCCAGGGCGCTTGCTTGTTTCCACATACCGAGGTGCTCACAACATCAGGAACAGCACGATCATCGATCTCTATTTCCGTCAACCTTGGTCTGGAAGAAGCGCTGTATGGCATGGTCAGCATGAAAGTACTAGTCCATGAGATAGAGATCTCAGACGTGCTGCAGCAGACTGTTCAGAAGCTTTCTTTCCAGCCTGGCCCAAAGAAACCTCAATGTATATTTGACACCCTGAACATTCAATTGTGCCACAGAAACAGCCGAAGCGCAAGCTTCCAGAACCCCCTCGGCACGTAGCTCCGCATCAAAGTGTTGAAGCTGATCCTCAGAAAGAGCTTAATGCACAGGCTCAGCAACAACTCCTTTGCCCTGAGCTGCTGCTGCATACTGTGCCGCATTCAGGAGCTTTGGCCAGCGTGCCATCAGAAATTCAAAGCAACAGGAAGATACTCGAACACACACGCTCAGCTTCAAAACCTGAACAAGTTCCATGCGTCACTAATGCAAATCAAGAATCACACTTGGTGCTGTCATCTGATCTTCCATACCTGGACAGGCAGCAAATCGCGTTGCAGAAAGCCTGGCGACGGCAACAAAACCCACGAGCTTCTTCCCCACCATCCGCAAACCCAGGGCATTGGAAGACTGATCATGTTATCGGAAGGCGCTGTGTGACACTCTCCCTTTTTTGACACACAAGGCAGCACAGCCCTCGACTGGCTGTCGGTGTGTACTTTCACTGCCAGACTCCTCGCCTTCTTTTCCCAAACCTTGCCTGACTGCCTCAGTGCACTACAAGGCGATCTGCATTAGTGGCTGGGTGCGTGCGTTGCTTGCGGATTTTGAAAGGCTCCCAGCTGCTTTTTGGAGCAGGGCGGCCTTGCCTCCGAGAATGTTTGACGCAACTTGCCAGTGGTCTCCCTTGATGCAGGCCGCCAGAGCACCTGGGACATTTGATCGTGAAGAGGGATAACATGGACACAAAATGATGTTGTTCTTTGTTGTCCTTGCTCGGGACCTCTTTAAACTTGTGGTTGCATTCTGGTATTCTTCGCAACAAAACTGCACCAAACACTGTACATGCGGGAAATGTCAACTGTTCGGATCAACATGGGTTGGGAGGGGGCGGCTAGCGCCATCCCTCCATTGCTCACGTGCTTCAGGAAAACAAAGAATAAGACCGGCAGATATCAGCATTAAAGAAGCAATAATGATACTAGTAAACCAAAAATGGCAGTGATCGTAGTAACAAGTGGATGCAAAAGCTGTAGCAAGAAAATGCACAACAACATTAGCAAGGTAACAGCAGTCAGTCACAAAAATGCCACAAGTGTCGTATTAACAGGATTTCGTCACAGTAACAATAGCAGCAACAGTCATAATACTACTGGTGTTGAATGCAGAAATAATGTCAGTGGCTAAAGTGACAGCACTTGCAATACAGTACCCTCCGTTGCACGGTGCATGTTGTGCAAAGAGCCACGCGGTCTACACCCTCAGAATCCCATATGCGCATCTGGTCTTAGGGTGTCAATGCTAGTCAACGCTACCAGAACTGTCGGAAACCTACCATTTGGTTAAATGTCACATTGCAACCACCTTCTGTTGAATGGTCCCCACCCTTGCATGCCCCAGATTAACTTGATATCTTTGCTAAATGAGCCTGCGGTCCGGCAATGTATTTTTGTAGCCTAGGCCCGGATGGTGGATGAAGGAAATTGTTCCACCTTCATGCTAACAAATAATACCATGAACCACACGAAACCCGCACCCCCTGTTTTAACATGGGGGCTACAACAAATCGAGGTGGTGCAAGATTTCAGTCATCGTCCAACAGGACGTTCGCACTGTCACTGCCAATGTTAAAATGGGGTGCGGAGTGTTGAATTTTAGCGGAGCATGAAAGTGGTGCAAGACTTCCTCCATCAACAGTAGCTACAGCAATAGCGACACGACAAAAAAAAAGACAAGTAGCAAAAGCAAAAACAACACTGCCGATGACACTAACATGATGTCAGTGACGGCCGCGACAGCTCGATAGCAGGGGCAGCGAAAGTAACAACATCAACAATAGGTAGTGGCAAGAGCAATGACAGTCCTCGCGGCGGTGTCAGAATCACTTAGACTTGTGATTCAGAGCAGTACTGGAAATTATTGTTCAGATACTGGCGATATCAATAGCAATGATGACAATCAATACAAAGCATAGCGCCGATAACAGTGCAAGTAAGAATAGTACCACACAATAGTCATAGTGCCGTCAGTGTTGTAGACGTAAAAGTAGAAGCAGAAGCAGAAGTAGAAGTAAAAGCAATAGTAGCTGTAGAAGTAGTAGTAGTGGTAGTAGTAGTAGTAGGAGGAGGAGGGGCTTGTCCCGTATTTGACGGTGGTGTTTTCTGTGCATCTGCGTACAAAATCACTGGCAGGCGCATCATTCGCAGTAGTGCGGGCAGCACAGTTGCCAGGGCGGCTAAACACAATTTTTGCCGGCATCTTTGGCCTCAAAGGACGTAGTTTGCAGCTATCGCTGCCATGGGGCGGCGGCCGTTAAAATCAAATCAGAACTCCTCACACCCTTAGACTAACGGGGCATAGCCTGGACTAATGGGAACTACCCTGGACTAATGGTGCGATGATAAAATCAAATCATATGTCCTGAAAACATACAGGGCCAGCCCACCATGAACGCACATTTTCAGGCAACGCGAACATACGAATA